ACACACACACACACACACACACACACACACACACACACACGCACACACTCGCCTTCCCCAAGGGCACCTCGAAGCCCCCCAGTGCCAGTGGCAGGATGCGGGGTGGATTTTGGTACGGGGATCAGGCACAAAAGGCCTGGAGGCCACCAGCAGTCCCAGAGCCCGGGGTGTCCCCCCTCGCCCGGTGGGTGGGTGCGGCCCCCCCGTCGCGGGTGGGCGGCGGGCGGCTGGCGCTGCCGTTGCCATGGGGACCGTGGGTGGCCGGGGGGCCGCGGGCCCGGTGTGCACATCACCACCGGGAGATGCCGGCACCGGCGGGGGGGATCCGGGGGCAGCACCCCTAGTGCTGGATGCCCACCACATCAAACCTAGCCAGCCTGCGGGGATCCCATATCCACGCCCCCACACCAAGGACCTCAAAATCCAGCCCCGTCCCTGGATCCCATCTTCCGACACCCCCACGCCCAAGGAACCCCAAAATCCAGCCCCCCTCGGGGTATCCTCTATCCACTCCCTCCCGGGGATCACAAAATCCACTCCTTGCCCCACAGGAATCCCATATCCAGCCTCCCCAGGACCCCAACATCCTCCACATGCCCGGGGCAGATGCTGGCAGACAGACACCCCAGGCGTCCTCCTCGGGTGTCTCCGTGCCTCCCCCACAAGCGAGACGCTGGAGCGGCGGTCAGGCACACTTGTCCCCCAGGAATGGTACCGAATCACTCGCAGGCCCCCCGTGAGAAATCTGTTTATTGCAAACTGGGGGTGGGGTGAATGGAGGGACAGGGAGACGGCCGGGGACTCCCAGCCTACCTATCCCAGGGTAGGAGGGGCAGTGGGAAGCTGCAAGAGCCAGGCCGGGCCTGGGGGGAGCCAGGGCTGCCACATCCCCCCTCTCAGACCCCAAAGTACCATGCCAGGGAAGCCCATGTTCCTGGGGCTCCTGCCCACTGGCTGGAGGGGTGGGCAGCTGGCTACAAGGGGTGGGTCTGTAGCCACCCCCGAACCCCAATGCTGTGAGGGAAACCCCCACTGCTCCCTCCTGACCCCTGGGGAAGGGGAAGCAAACTCTACAGTCTGGCTGGGGTCTCTGCCCACCCCAGGGTGCCTTGACCACCCTCCAGTGATGGGGTTGGGGGGAAACCAGGAGGAAGACTCCCCCGGGGCTGGGCAGGGGGCAAGGGCAGCACAGCCACCATGGGAGACCCCAGAGCGGGGTTGGCAAGGGGATTTGGGTGTGCCAGGTGGGCAGGGTGCAGGCAGAGTGCAGGCGGGGTGCAGGGCAGGGGAAGGCTCCCCCATGTGTCCCCTCATCCCTGCTGCCCGTACCCAGCACCCAGCCCTGCCCACGAGGGGCAAAGCTGCCCAGAGTCAGGGTGGGGAGGGTTCCACACCCCCAGAAAACCCAAAAGCAGCATCCTCATCCACCAAAAATAATAATTATGTCACCCAACATGCTCCGTCTATTCCGGAAAAACACAGAGCGCCGGCAGCGCGAGGCAAGGGGAGGCAGGGGAGGAGAGGGGTCTCGGCGCCCGGGTTGCCGTGGTGACAGGATGTAAATCTGCCCGCGCCTGGCTTCCCCGCACAGATGGGTGCTGGCAGCGTGGAGCAGCGGGTCATGGGCACCGGCACGGAGTGCGAGAGTCCCAGTGGGCATCCGGGAGGTTTCTCCTCTCCCTGTTTCATTTTTCAGTTGTTTTTGCCACCGTCAAAACTGGACGGCGCCAGGGGAGATGTTGAACATGGAGGGGTCGAACTTCTGGCCACGGAACGGGGAGCCCTCGGTGTCCCAGCCCTTCTTTAGCATCTCGTGCACCTTCTGCAAAGAGGCCACAGGCTCTCTTCAGCCCAGGGTGACCCCATGCTGCTCCCCACGCCCCTTGCCCTCCTCTGCCCCTTGTCCCACAGGTGTCAGGGCTGCATGGCCACCTGACCAACGGAAGGGGACGTGGGGGACAGCAGCAGCAGCCCGCATCCACCCTGGTTGGCAGCAGCCACTGCCAAGGGCATACACCACCCCTGCTTCTCCTCACTGCCCAGGAAAGGGCAGATGGCACCCAGGGCAGCACCAGGCAGCTCCTGGGTCTGGCTGAGCCCAGACCCATGCGAGTCCATCCCAGAGCAGGGCCAGCTCTGGGGAGAGGCACACAGATGTGAGGCCCGGCAACAGTGCAGGTTTATGGGCATTTGCCAAGATGCCAGGAAGGGGAAGACAGGAGTGAGTGGCAAAAGATGGACCATCTGAACCTCATGCACCCACAATGTTGATGTGGGGGGACAGTAAGTGAGGAGGAGCTCTGAGATGGAGCAGAGCTGTGGGGCTGCCACATGCTGCACCCTTTTCCTGGGAATGGGACCCTTGGAGATCCAGTGGGAGGGCCAGGCTGGGCTGGTGGCGTAGGGTGGCCGGCACCTACCAGCTCGTGGCTCTGGGGCTTGCCCTGCAGCTTCTGGTGGTAGTCAAAGGTGAGGCGGTCGAGCACAGCATGCTCCTCCTCATCCACTGTGGCCATGGAGCGCTCTTTGTTGATCTTGTCAATGTCGATCTGCTCCTCGCCCTCCAGGATAGCATTCCACCAGTACTCATCCCCCTTGTTCAGGTTGATCTACGGACAAGGTGCGGGTCAGGGAGTAGGGACAGAAGCCCCCATCCTGCCCAGGACATGGTACCCCGGCCCATTCCACAGCTCTAAGGCAGCGATGCAGAGCTTGGCCATGCTGACAGCAGCAAGGGGCTTGCCCAGGAGCAGAGGTCCAGCTCACAAGGATCCAGCCCCATGGCTGGCAGAGGTGGAGGGATGTTTGTGCCTCCCTCCCTCAGCGGTCCAAGGGTTTTGCACAACCCCATCACAGCCCTCCACAGCCCCAGCTCAGACCCCGGGGCTGAAATTCTGTCCACACCATGGCTCAAGGCCAGGACCAGTGTCCCTCAGTAGTGTACCGCCCACGGGTGACACCAACCCAGGGCCGCATGGCTGACTGAGCAGCAGCAACAGAGCCCAGGACTGTCGGACAAGGAGACTGTGTCCGGTGGAGTGTGGGGCTGGGGCTGCTGGCGTGGCCTTTCTCACCTTTCTTTAACCCAGAAGGAGCCCTGGTCTCAGTTCTCCTGGCACTGGCTCTGTGGGTGGCAGCGTGGGTGACAAAGGAGGTGAGAATGTGCTACCTCAGCTCACTGCCAGCACCTGCTTCCCGTGGCACCGTGGCTTGGCAGCAACCCGAGGGATGGATGAGGATGCTCCAGACAATATCCTTGCTGGGAAAAGCCGTTGGCCGTAGCCATGGGCATCCCTGATGCAGTGCCTTGCATGGAGCTGGCTGGTTGGAGGGGCTGTGCCAGGGCCAACGTGGGGCATCTCACACCTGCTTTTTGTTTTTCCAGGAAGAGGGAGCTGCTTCCTCCTATGTTATTTTAGCACTAATCCCAGCAGCAGGGCAGATTTATGACATTCATTGGGCTCTGCAAAATCATCAATAAAGGCAGACAATACAATTTGCTCAAAACTCCCTGGAAGCTCAATGGCTCCGGAGGGGAGAACACAGGCAGCCATTCCTGTTACAAAGCCAGGCGTCTCCGCAGTGTGAAGAAAAGGAACCAATTAATACAGGAGGGGGTGGCTGGGGCTTAATCCTTCTGGGAGAGCAGAGCCGGTAAAATATTCCAACTTGGGGAAGGCGTTAGTTTTTCCAGCTAGACAGGCATGCTTGTTCTCCTTTTAATTGCACAGTTCCACTTTGGAAGGGAGGGAGAGCTGCCAAGGGTTTGCTCCTGGGCTTCCCAACCCCGGGTGGGCAGGCAAGGGAATGGCAGGAGTCCCCAGAACATCACCCCTCAGCCAGCAAGCCAAGCGGAGGGGCAGCAGCCCTGGCCTGTCCATGCCTGCAGCAGGAGCATCCTCCAGGCTTCTCAGGGTTTGGACCATGAGGAATGTCCCCGCAGTGCTGGTGGGGTGTGAGCTTCCCTGGTGATGGCTCCACCACAAGCCATGCTCTCACAGCATCACTGGGGAGCACGTGTGGCTTGGTACATCCCTACCAGAGGCAGTCTGATGGCAGAGGAACAGACAGGTGACGCAGAAGTTCAGGCATCACCCCATCTCCATACCAGAGTACTGGAGGATGGAAAACTCACCCCAGAGCGTCTGGGGATGGAAATACATCCCTCCTCCCTTCCCTACCAAACCTCATTCCTCTGCTGGTGCCCTGCCACCACCCGCGCACCTCTGCAGCCTGCCTGAGGGGATTTACTCAACCCTCTTTATTCCAGGGGGAGAGCTGTCAAAGTGGGACTCACTCCAAGGTGGGAGCCCCAGTTTCTGATGTAAAATGCTCATGGGCCAGGGCAAAGGTTGCTCTATCCCTGTGAGTTTGTGTTTTCGTGGTTAGAGGCAGTGCTGGAACACTCACCGTGGACAGGTCTCACCTCCAGGATGGGGGACATGGACACGGGTTGATTTCCTGGACTGTGTCTGCTGATGTTCTCTGTGAAACCAGCCCATGCTTGGCTGAGCATCTGGGCTACAAGAGCTTGCAGTGATGGAGATGCAGCTGGTGCCCTTTCCAAGCACTTTGGGTGCCCAAGGGTGGGGGTAAGGGAGAGATGAGAGGCTGTGGCAGGTCTCTGGGCAGGTCTCACACATCAGCCCTCACCCACCCACCCACCAAGGAGGCTCTGGCTTTTGGTTGACAGCCCCCCATGAGGCTGCAGGCACCCTCAGGGAGAGCTACAGAAATGGGGGCTCCAGGAGGAAGCAGGGCTTTTTCCACAAGGACAAATCCTGACCTGATTATGTTTGTCGCTTCCAGACAAGGCAAAGCTTTTCTGCACTTGACACTACTGCTATGAGTTTCCCAGCCAACAGCTTGGGCTGACCCCTCAGCACCCCAGAGATGCAAACAGCCACTTGCCAGAGGAAGGATGAAGTCCCTGCAGCGTGTCCACACCTTTGGCCAGGCTTTGGATCTGCCTGGTGGGTCCCAAAGGCATAAAAGGCCAGCTGAGTCTTTTGGGGTGCATAGGGAGGCAGGAACAGCCTCTGCAATGGCGGCCTGAGGGGAGGGAGGATCACAGGGGGCACACTCCAATGCTGTATCCTAAGAGAGCAGCGTCCTCAAACTGAAGTGCTCACTTCCCACAGCCAGTGTCCAAAACATGTCTCAGCCACGTAGGGAAGGGCTGTTCCATGGAAAAGCACAGGGATAAGGATGGATTGTGAGGAATGACGAGACAAGTCGGCAGGAGGGACCCTCCAGCAGGTGAAAGGCATCACTGGCATGGACATGGCATCATGTCCCATTTCCACACCCTGCTGGGAAGGTTACAATCCCTCATTATCAGTGCTGGGCTTTGCCATAGCACGAGGTTTCTTCTCCAATCCCAAATACCTTCTCAGAGCTGGAGAGATGCTGCCAAGGGGTCTAAGCAGGTCTTGGGGAAACAACCTCTCTCTGCCTGCTTTCCTACTGGAACCACAGCAGCCCAAAGTCACCCCAAAAGTCACTGAGAGGTGTTTAGGGGGACAGGAGAGGCAGCAGTGGCATTCCTAGCACTGTGTGGAGGGTAGGGCTGAGAGAGGCATCACGGAGTCGTGTCCCCTTGGCCTCATGGCTCAAGGGATGACAAGCCAAGACTGTAGTATGTGTTCAAGGCAGGACTTGGTGACAAAAGCCCAAGTGTGGATAACAAAGGCTGAGAGGAAGAGAAAAAGAGAGGGAAATGGGGAAAAAATCCTCCACAACGAAAATAATCCCAAATGGTGTTGTGCACAACACCCAACGGGGACTGCTAAAAACAGCTCATGCGAGGTTATTTTAATCTCGCTTTCGACAAGCGAGCGGGTGTGACGGAGAAGGGAGAGCACAGGGATGGCACCACACACCCAGGGCCAGGGTACGGTGCAGCACTATGGGCAGGGGCACCATCCTGGGACACAATCCTGAGCAGGAGGAGATGTGGATAGACCCCTGCCCCGTGTCGGCAGAGCACTCCACTGCAGAATGACACCAGCTGAGTTTTGCTGCCACACACGTGGCTGTGCCAAAGGATGAAATGAGAAATACGTTGGTGTTGGGCTGGCCTACAGCCAGGAGAACCCCATGGAGCAGAAAGGGGAAGGCAGAGTGGCCTCTGAATGCTGGTGAGGGGAGTGCTGTGGTTGGTGGAGAGAGAGTGACATGTAATGAAGAGGATACATGGATAAGACTGCCAGGCAGGATGGGGGAAGCAGAGCTTAGAGGGGTTGTAAGGCAAGATAATCTTCCCAGGATAAGAGCTGGAGGAGCAGGGAGGCTGGTTTTGGAGCATCTGTGAACGGCATCCCAGAAGGGAGGAGGACAGAGAGGCCAAGGATGATGAAAGAGCTGTAACAGCAGACTGGAGAACAAGGGGTTGACAATCCCTGACATGTCCTGCAAGAGCACAGGGAACTCAAGAGCCTCTCTGCACAGAGCTGGGACCTTCCCAGATGGACAGGACCAAGCAGGAGAGATTTTACCCCCTTGGCACACAGACTGAGCTCTGCTGCAGGGATCACCTGAACTCACAAAACACACGCAGCACCGAGGAGTCCCAAGCAGTCCCCGAGGTGGGCAGGATCTCCTCAGACAACCCCAGCACTGGCACTGGGTGAGTTTGGTTTTGGTTGCATCATCATTCTGCCAGGGAACGCCATCCCTGGGTCCCACGGAGGCAAGCCAGGCAGCACCTTGCAGGAGGAAGACATCCCCAACAGCTGTACTTGAAGCTCACATGGAGCTATACACAAACGGGGGTACAGAAAGGGTCTGTCAGCCCCAACCAAACCCCAACAGCCCCATCCAGGCGCTGAACAAAGCAATTCATTCCCACAGGGTGGGTGTCTCCTGATGAATGAATCAGGAGGAGTCGCAAACCACTTCTGGCTACTCTGAGCATGGGAAAAGGAGATGCTCCTGGGCAAGAATTTCTCACGCTGCTCCAGTTACCTTACAGTTCTTCAAGCGAGATCTCATCCCACCATCAATATGTTGGCAGCCAGCTGGAGATCCTCACAACCTTGGGTTCATGCTAATTCGAGGCAAGACCCAGCTCTGGAGTTGGGGGTGACAGGCCCACTCTGCTCCCCATGCTGCCTGTGGCCACTTCAGAAGGCCCCAAGTCTCGCTCCGCCTACACCATTCCCAGCCTCTGATGGGTATTGAAGACTCATCACCTCCCTTGCTGATCCTGAGAACACCCACCCGGGACTCCCTTCCGTGCTGGAGAGCAGCCACCCATTGGGCCATCTCCTCTTCAACAAGTTTACACTTTTCCAGGATTGTTTCTTTTCCCAGATTAGCTAATTTTCAAGATGTTTATGAACATTTACAAAATGCATGTAAAAGAAGCCACAACCTCCTTTTCCACATCCCTCCACTAGCCTGACAGCATCGGAGAATCTCCTCTCCCTTGCAGTGACCTCACTCATCCTTTTGGCACCAGCCTGTCACTTGGGGTACATCCCTACGGATTGGCAGTGGCTGGGTGACACTGAGCAGCCTCCCTACACACCATCTGCAGCATTCCCGAGTCTGGCAGCACATTCCCACTCCATTTCCCACTCAGGGGGCTTGGATTTGGGTGCCCATCTGCTGACACTCTTGTGTCATGGGGTGAAAGGCTTGGAGCCTGCTCCCTCCCCCACAGGGATGGCATGTATCCCCTCCTGGGTCTAACGACAGCCTTGGGACTCCTGAAACTCTTCTGGAAACTCTGCTTGGAAAACGATAGGGCAAAGATGGCCACAGGAAGCAAAATCCCACTCCCAGCACAATCCTGGCCCCCAAACTGGCACAGGAGTCTGGGAACTGTCTGACACTTGAGATCCCAGGGTGATGGGCAGAGCCCCCACAGTAGCTCCAGCTGTGGACACAGGTGAACTCACATCCTCAGCCTGCACATCTGGAACACACCAGAAACAAGGCTTGGGGCTGGGAATCCACCAGTAACACACAGCTGGGTGCCAGCAGCCCCTGGACCACTTGGACGGGGATGATTTGGGGCAGCAGTCACACAGCAAACCACAGGCCTGCTGAAGGGAGACAGAGAACGAGCCACAGTGTCCACTTCAAACAGGTTAAGTAGGAATCCCATGGCAGGACAGAAAGGAATGGCAGGAAACAGGCACCTGCCAAGATGCCAGAGCCAGAGCAGGGCCAGGAGAGTCGGAGGGCAGAGTCAGCAAGGCCAGGTGTGCAGGACCGGCGCTGCAGTGCAGGGCCATGTGCTGAGATCAGGGACAGTGATGACCCCCAGGTAACAGCTGTGCTCCCCCGCCTGCAGTTGGAGCTGGGGACCCCCTCGCCCAGTCTGACAGATGTGCTGCTCAGGTAGCACCCTGAGGGGCACCTCAGGAGCAGGGGAGGCAAGGCACGGCACACAGGAAAGGACAGCTTGAGCCAGATATTGGACAGGCAAAGCCAGACACATATCTTTTCCCAGAAAAGAAGCCTTTTCTTGAGCCCTTTCAACCTGGCTCAAACTTCCAGCTGCTGCAGTTTCCCAGGTCAAGCCTAGTGCATCTGCAAGCCAAGGAGACATGGCTGGTGCAGATTGCCCTTACCAAAATGCACTTCCCGGGCTCCAGGCTCCACAGGGAACTCTCCGTATTGATCTTGTGGGTGAGTTTCCCTTCCATGAGGACATGCTGGCTGCTCCCCTCCAGCACCGCTACGCAAATTGTGCCACTGCTGATATCCACAGACACCTGGAAACACACAGAGAGAGACAATAATCCGGAGTGTTCCTGCTTGCCCTCTCACTGTGTGAGCTGGGGTGTGGGGTCAAGTGCACTCGCCAGGGATGAGAGAGAGAAGAGCTTCCAGCACTGCCTGCAGCGGGAGGGTGGGAATCCCGCTGTCATCTCATAGCAAACAGCGACAGCTTGGAGGAGTGAGGGAACCTCTCCAAGGAGGAAAGGCAGCACAGCTCAGCAACTGGGGCCCTTGAAGAATTCAAGGCAGCTGGTTCTACCCAGTGCCTCAGTTTCCCCACAGAGAAAATGTGTACCTGTAATGCTACAGGCCTCCACACAGCACTCAAAGGTTGGCACCTACTTGCTGTGACTGAAGCTCTTTAGGAGCAGGGTGTGTGCCCCTCTGTCACCATGACGAGTTGGGCATGGGTGTGTGTCATCCTGGTGGCTGAGCGGGGGCAATTTGGGGGGTTCCTACTCTAGGGCTGCAGCAGCTCGTCCCCCCTTTGCTGCACCGTGACGAAAGCAAACTCCTTGGCTCTGCTTCCGCTGCTGGAGCCAGCTCTGGGCTTGGCCCAGGCCTCCCATCAGGCATGCGAGGAGGGGCTGCGTGCAGGAGGAATGCTGCGGCACAGCTCCCCGGCACGGCTCCCCCGCTCCCTGCGACGGGGACAGCTCTGTCCCCAGGAATGGGGCCAGCTCCCGCCCACAGCAGCCATATGGGGAACCCTGCTCCGACCTGCCACGCAGGTGACATGGCTGCCCCCTGGGGAGACAGAGGCAGCCTGTGACAGGCACACAGTATCCTTGGTCTCCGGAGAGACCATATGCTCTCTCCTGTCCCCTTCAGCGCTGAGCTGCTGCCAGCAGAGCCCGCACCAGGCCAGGGGTTGCAGGGAAGACCTGGCTGGGAAGGGGCAGGATTGTGGCCCCCAGCACTGGTCCGAGAGGAGGAGACTGCAGTGAGATTTGCCTGCATTCTCTCCCAGAGTTCCCCCAGATCTTCCTCCCGCTCTGCAGATCTCATTTGAAATGTTATTACATTATCCATTACCTAGGAGATTTCCAGAGGCTCACTAGCTCCATGCAGGCAGGAGACAGGCAGAGCTGCTCCAGCAAGGGAGGGCACCATGGTCGTGTCTGACTGATGTCACCTGGGTACAGCCCCTGAACCTGCTGTGTGTGACGGGGAGCTGCCAGGGCTCTGGCAGGAGCAGAGGAGGCTCAGCACACACAGCACAGGGTGACACAGGACTAAGCTCTGACACAATGGTGGGGAGCAAGACCACGGCCACTGGGGATCAGGGAAGGAACATGAGGATGGGAGAGGACAACTGGCTGTCACCCGGCATGTGGCTGTGGACAGCCTCTACGAGAGCGGTTGCTCCTGGATGGGAAACACCTTCAGAGGGGCTGAGCACGGAGCAGCTCCCTCCAGCCCAGGGCTGAGGTCTCACTTCAGGGATGAGGCGTGAGGATGAGGCTCTGCCTTCCGCCAGCACTACCCGCCCAGGTCCCCGGGTGCAGGGCAGGGCTGCTGACACCGGGCTCTCAGCACAGCACAGGGCCTGTCCAGAAGGGGTCCAGGGAAAAAATGGTCCAGGGGACTTCTTTGTGGTGTGGAGGGTTGGGGAGGCTGGACACATGGAAGGCACAGATGCAACATTGTGGCTTTGGGGTCCACAGGGACAGGAGTAACCAAATATGAGAGGGGTTATTCCCAGCACAAGGCAGCTGTTGGAGCTAAGGGGCAGCTTCGAGGTGGCTCTGGGACCAGCCAGGTGTTGGGAGAGGGAGCAGAGAAACCCAAATGGAAGAAGGGATCCAAACTGGGCAGCCTTCACCCACTCTCTTCACTGTGCAAGCAGCCAGAGTGAGAAGCAATTGCAACACCTGTTTCTATAACTGCCCAGCAAGAAGGTCTCGCTCGGCACACCAACCTCCCAGGAGTGGGGACAGGGTACAGGGGCAGAGTACACCCTGCTGGAGAGCCCTGCCCCTCTGTGCATAGAGGGACATCTCTGAGAGGACTCAGATGTGCACAGGGTGGTGCCTGTGGACAGTCCACACCTGAGGGAAGGCCAAGAGCAATCCCGCAAGGAACGCATCACCCTGAAAGCACCCCAGAGGCTTCAAGGCTGCCTGTCCCTTGCCATGCACTCCCTATGAGCACCTCTGACCCCCAAAACTCCTGGTTGACTCAGTGCTTCCAAGGGAAGCCAGCTCTCAGCTCTGTGCCACAGCTTTTACACCACAGTGATTTCTGTGCATACGGAACGCCCACACCCGCCCACACAGATCAAACAAGCAAACACAAACTGAGAGAGGAATCAAGCTTGTCTCCTCCAAGTTCAGCAGACAGAGAGGCCTAGAGTCATTATCTCTATTTAAGCGCTCAGATCGGTGGGCCTCTGTTGCACTCATAAGTAGATCATATAGGTGGGGACCAGGGAGAAAGATGCTCCCACCTACTCCATCGCCCATTCCTGCTCCAAGGACACTTTTTTTGAGCTCCACACAAGGAAACCTTAAGCTCACCAGAGCAAAAATGTGCCATAGCAACAGCCCAAATCCCAAAAAGTGTCATAAGGAAGACTGTGAGCAGCATTAGAGCTGGGCAGACTCTGAGCCCAGGGACCAAATAGGGAGATTTTTAATCTCACCTGGGCAGGCAAAAGCCAAAAACCTGATAATTTTTTAAAAATATGAAGGTGTGTGAATGCAGGGGAATGCTGCTCTTATACAGGAACCCATCAACAACACGACCAAAGTCCATGGAGCTTTATAATGGCTCTGCACCCTCCTGCTCTGGCTCAAGACTCAGCCTGTCTGCTCCCATTCCCCTGAGGCTGAAGAAGAATTAAAGAATCACTTGGAAATGGAAACTCAGCTGCCAAGGGGAGCCCCAAGAGGCATGAACAAACACCAGGAGACAGAGCACAAGGAGAAGGGAAGTCCAGCGTCTGAACAGCCGATTGCTCTGAGGGTAGCATGGGCAGACATCAGGGCAAGGGCAGGCAGAGTTGTGTGCCCATGGGCACTGGTGTGGGAAGGGGCTGTCCTGAAACCCCCTCCACTCTGAGGCGCAGGGACTTTTCCACAGTGACGGCAAAGTCTTGAGCCAAGGAAAGGTCAGGAAAGTGTATCCTGTCTCCACTCCCATGAGCTCCTGCGGGCCCCTGCATCATTCCATGGCCAAGGACAGGGCACACAGAGCCCAGTGTGGATTTTTTGGCAAGGACACAACTCCACTGGCAAGGAGGGCACTCTTCCATGGGCAGGGAGAGGCATCGTGATCGCAGTACGATGCGGAGGAATGGAACATCTGTCTGGATGGGCCAGAATCCTTCCAAGAAACAGCCTGGGTTTGTTTTAGAGACCTGCTGGGAGAGATGCATCTCCCAGGGCCCTGCTGTGCCTGTGGCAGCCATGTGCTCCCTCACCCCTCCGGCCCAGGCTGCTGCTGCTGCTGCCAGTGACACGCCTTGGCATGCCGAGGAGCTGTGTAGGCTGGAGCGGGTGACAAACCCCAGTGTGCTCCTTTCAGCCGCCCTGGAAGCAGAGGAGAGCAGGAGGTGGGGGAGCACAGGCTTCCCAAATGGAAAAATACAGAATCAGCCATGGGGAGGGCAGCACTCGAAAGAGTTTGAACTTCTGGGTCCAACTAAGACCAGCCATGGGAGGGAACAGAAGCAGTGAAGGAAAAACAATTTGACCACAAGCAGAGCAGAGAGGTTCCTGCCTGAGTCAAGCAGGAACCTCTCTGCCTCTTGCCCACACAGCCAGCCAAGGAGAGGGGCTGGCCCTCAGCCTGTACCCCAGACCAGCTCCCTTCCACCCAGACCAGGTCAAGCCACACACAGGTTGTGCCTGATGCAGTTCTGCGGTGCCAGAAGAGCTGCTCCAGCAGCTCCCGCTTCCAAATGAAAGGCACCAAAGGCATAACTGAGGAAGGGGCATCCATCAACAGCCAGGCTCCGAAACCCATGTTCGAATGTGCAGGTGATGGAAACAGAGAGAAAAAGTGCAGAAAGGGCCAGGCAGTGCCAGAGAGCCTGGCTGGGACAGAGCAGAGAAACAGGAACATGAGCAGGCTGGGACCATCAATCCCCACCAGACACACACCAGAGAAAAAGCACAACCACATCCTTCTCTTGGAGTACAAAGGATAAGGAGCCTTCCCATTCCAAACACAGCTTCCTGGGAAAGCTGGGCACCCTGATGGAAAGGGAAATGCTAAAGACACACCAGCAACACCACTTTACCTGTTTGCCTTTGACGATGTGCTTGGGTACAGGCACTTTAATTTCCAGGTCGCTGTAGTCTTGGGACCAGGTGTAATTCTCTCGCACAGCTCCATTGTAGCTGTCAGGGTTTGTCTGGAACTGTTCCTGTCTCCTGGTGGGGGGAGAAAGAGGTGACATCTTAAAGATCAGAGCCTGGAGAGAGCAGGAAGCCTGAAAGCAGGACGCAAGAAGCCCAAAGGAAGGGCATAGACTCTGCTTGGCCGTCCTGCAGCATCCCCAACACTGGGCTGCTGCCCAGCCTCTCCTTCACTGCTAGTTCTACATAAGGGAGCAGGTCCAGGTCAGCAGCCCCAGGACTTGGCCTGCCTGTCGCGGGTGACTTGCAGTTCCCTCGCCCCAGCGTGCCACAGTGGCAGTCAGGCTGCTGACAGGACAACCGGTGAGACACAAAATGATTTGGCTGCCCAAAAGGTGCAGAGCTGGCCCCTGGTGGGCTCAGGGCACCTTTATGGCCACCACTACTCAGCAAAGAGCTCCTTGTCCCGACCACCTTCCATCACAGCTGGAGCAGGGACACTGGCATGTGATGGGGGGGTGTGGGCTGTCCCCCAAGCCACTGCCATGGCTGCAGAGGTGGTGGTCCATGGCCGTGACCTGGGTTCACTATGAAAACACAGCACTATTTTTCCCCATCCTGATTATAGTGTTTGAGAAAGCCACCAGCTGCCATGACCAGGGCAGTTGGTGACACAGAGGTGATGGAGCTGCAGAGCAGGATGCCTGAAGAACCAGCCCAGGGTGCCTGAAAAGTGGATCATGAGCAACACTCTGAGCACAACACTGCCTCTTCCAGCTGTGGAAACCTCAAGAAAGCCAAGGAGACAGATGCAGGGGTAAAATGGGGTTTATGAGATCGATAAGCAATAATTAATACAGTGTTTCCAGCCAAGAAAGGAAATTGCCACACCCATGTCCCTTTCAGCTGCTGGGCTGGCAATCTATTCCAATGAAGCCCTCCCAGGGAGGGCTTTCAAATAAAATCAAATCTCCTCTAAAGATAGCTGCAATGCTAACAAAAGGCAGAATTATTTTAAAATGTTTTGATACACACCTAGACTTCAACATGGAGCTGGATAAACATGGAGCTCAGGGACTTATGTAAGGGAGGGCCAGTGAAGAGCAGCCCCAGAGCACAGTCGGCCCTGGGGAGCATATCTCCCCGTGTCCCGCTGCCTTCCTGACACCCCCACACTGCGGGACCCTCTCCAGCACTGGGCGGGGGTGGCTCCAGCAGCACGGCACCCTGAGGATTATGTAAGACCCAACGATTTTAATTAAATTAGGCTGTAAGACGGTCGGAGGGGGCTGTCAAAGGTGCTGTACACACCTCCCCCTTTTTTTTCTCTCAGTGGTTTCACGGAGTGCACTGAGGGTTTCACCCACCCTGTTACACACACCTGTGGCCCAGGGTGGTTCTGATCTGCTCCCAGGCATTGCAGGCAGCACTGAAACCAGCAGTATCTGCAGGCTCCCACCCTCAGATGGCCATTTCAGGGGGTACCACATCATTTTTCAGGCATCTTGGCCTTGCCTGGCAGTCACCCATTGGGTGCCCATTGCCATGGAAACGGGGTTGGCATGGCAGCACGCACCGGGCTGGCGCGTTGGCTCCAGCTGTCGCTTCCCAACCGCCCCCAGACTGTAGGAATTGAACAGGCTGGAGGGCGAGAGGAGGAATGGTGCAGGCGACCAGGGGCTGTGGTGACAGGGTCTGCGGGGCCCCACGCACACAGCAAACACACTGAAACACGGCAGCACGTCCCCAAGCACCATCTCACGTGTCCCCTGATCCCCACCCAGAACCAGCCCAGCGGTGGCACCCAGCTTCGTTCTCAGGGTACAACTGTCCCAGAGACCACCCCACAACAGCCCCTGGCAGGGAGGAGGGTCTGTGTGCAGCCTGGGACAGCTTGGCTGGTTAAGTGCCCTCACAGGACTTGTCCCCACGCTGTGGGGTCTGCCCAGGCATGGCAGAGCTTCATGGGGCTCCTGCCCGCCATCCCAGCTTGGCAAACCACTCCTCCACCCTCACATGATGAACCAGAGGATAAACCTGTCCCAATGTTAAACCCAGTTGTTTTTTTTCCTCCTAAAAGGGTGTTTCCTGCTAAGTGGTATGGGCCCCTTTCTCCTCCTCTGTGACCTTCAGGGGCAGCAGTGTGGGGGGCTTTTCAACACCCCACAGTCATATCCAAAGCACCCTTCAGTTCTCTGCAGCCTTCCTTCATGAGAAGCCCAGCTTTCCAGCACAGTGGTCGCACCAGCCAAAGCACAGCCCACCCTGCTCTTCCCAAACCTGCCAGCAAGACACCTGGGGGAAGGTGGGTCAACTGGGAGTTGCCATCACAAGTGTTGGTGGCTCCCTGCAATCAGCAAAGAACCAGACATGAATCAACAAATGGCTGTTTCTCCCAGGCTGTTCCCCTTTGGGCCTTTCCTGGGAAGAACGCAAAGGGCGCAGGAGAAGGCAGAGGGCCTGGGTCAAGTCAAGGCTTGTGAGAGCAGATGCAGAGCATCAGAGATGGGAGAAACCCACCGGTGCAAATGCACACATGGTGAGACACCAGCTGCAAATGCCTCATGGCCTCAGCACAAATAAATACAGCAGCCACTCGCTGCCACAAAACCACCAGGTCTGTCCTGGATATGCCTCCTCTTCCTCAGCAGAACAGCACTGGGGCTGAGCAGATCCCAGCCAGGCGGTTCTGGATGTTATAGCCCCTCTCAGAGCTTACTCAGCATGAACTCACAGTAGCCCCAGAAGCAGCCGCCCTGCGTGACTCCCACAGGGAAACTGAGGTAGAACTCATTCTGCACGGACTACGTCCAATGTCTGTTTGCACAGTGTAGCTACTGTACAGGTGACAGCAGTCTTCCTCCCAGTCCAACCAACCCTGTAGGACAGCTCTGTCCCAGCTCCCCCTGACATAAATGGGGCAGGGCTGGGTGACAGAGGAATGTGTCACAGACACCTCTGCCTCCATGTGCAGCTCACTGGATAAGCTCAGCCCTGCTGCCTCGGCCTTGCAGCCCTGACAGCCTGGCTGGCAACATGTGCCCCAGCCCTGCTCATCCGGCTTCAGAGGGAGAAGTTCCCCCTCATGCCTAAACCACTCTCCAGATGTGGCTGCCTGTCCTGAGGGCATGGGTTCTGGTGCCATGGCTTCTTTGCTCCTTTCTGCCCCAACACCCAGCCCAAACCGCTCCAGCCCTTCCCCCAAGACACCACCAACCTCTGCTCCAGCCATTTCCAATGTTAAAAATCCATGGATGTGAGAGTAAATGGGCTTTGTGTCCCAGAACAGGATCACAGTTGGACTCATGAAGTTTGGATAATTCCCCTGCAAGTGTAAACACTGGCTCTGAAGCCATGGAGGATCCAGGGTAGTGAAGGCAGGCTGCAGCCTCGTTAGGTGCTACTGACAAACAGCTGACAGCTCTACTACCTCCGGAGCAACTCTTCCTTTTCTGGAGTTTTTCCAACCAGATCTCTGCCTGGTCTAACTGTGCTTAGCGCATGCCAGCGGCAGTCCAGAATTGGATCCTGCTCCTTGGCTGGGAGGCAGCTTCCCTCATCATCCACAGGAGACAGCCCCGGCTCACGGCACGCTGGGCTGAGCCATGACGCCATGCCAGAGGTGGCTCTCCTGGCCAAAGGCATCACTCATGCCACTTCAACAGCACCACTGTGCAGCAGGTGAGAGAACCTCTGGCACAAACACCACAGCTGGGAGCTGTCCCCATCTCCAGACCCACCAGGTGAAGAGGGAGGCCAGATCCAGTGCACAGGGCAGGTTGGGTGGCGATCATCCCAGCAGCATGGCTGCTCTTGGTGCAATGGTCACTCACCGGGCTGCCGGAATGCCTGCCAGGCCAAGGCAGGTGGCGGCAGGGCTGAGGGGAGGGAGGGTGACAAAGCACCAGCTTTTAAACCTGAGACTTTGGCACCGCATGCACTTGGCTGCCGGGTGGTGGGGATGGTGGGGGTGGGTCTATGTGTTCTGTCTTGTTCTATTTTTGCTTGCAATGTGTCATTTTGGGGGAGGCGAAACCTTTAACAATGCACTGTCGAGAAGTAGCCGATCTGTTCCCCACTCCTCAGAGCTGCACAGCACAGCACGGGTGCACTGTCCCTGGGACCAGAGCCACTCCCTACATGCAGGGTGAGACCCTTGGCAGCAGCACAAGGGGACAGGACCCCCTGAGATGTGGCAGTTCTGGCCCTGGCAGGCAGGCTGGATGGCCAAGGGTGGGGCCACATGTTGAGCCCCATACACAGATTTCTGGGCATTTCTTACTCCGGGATTCCCACCTCTGTTGGTTGGTCTTGCTCAAGGAGCCAAGCGATCTGGAAATGGTGACAGTGATCCTCGTTCTGTGGACATTTGGCTGAACATGTTTTTGTCCTCAGAGCCCAACAGCTGTGGCACCAGCTCTGTGAAAGCAGCGTTGGACATAAACCAAGAGAAGGAACCAAACACACCAAAGGATCTGGTTAATGTTTGATTCAAGGAGAAGCAGCACAGCTCACTGATTTCCTCTTCTTTGAGGAGTCTGGGTGCAAGAATACAAAAGTTGAGGAATAGACACAGCAGCATGGGAGCAGCTGTTCTTCAGCCTGAAGCTCAGGAGGAGCAGTGGTGGGAAAGCATCATGGGAAGAAGCTAATATGGACATAATCCCAACAAACTTTTTTTCCCATAAAAAAGAAGGAAAACATCCCAAGGATTTTCAGAACTTAAGGAAACTAATCCTCTCAGCCTAGAGCAGCTCTACTTTGTGAGGCAGGACCCCTGCCCTCTCAGGAAGGAGGCTGACAGAAATCTGGAATACCTGGATCCAGCAGAATCAGGCATGCCACTGCTCGATGTCCAGTACAGCAAGTACCCTCTAGCTACTGTCATTCTCAGAAAGCTTCGTCTGGGGCTGGCACTGCTGTTTGCTCTTAGTCAAGGTAAATTATTTAGGCAGCTTTAAGGAAAACATGTCAAGCCAGATGTGAAGGTGGGTGGATAAGAGAAACAACCGCCACAGCTGAAACTGGGCAGTGGAACTGGCCAAGGCCAAAGGGGATGATGTGGGGAGAAAGCT